AATTAAACTGCGGTTAGAACTATTTTTGTGCGTGGCTAATTGTGTAACATGCACATCGTTTCTTGCGGTTCGATTTGGTTATTCGATTCAGGCAGAAGTTGCCTTAGTCCACATTTGTCTAAGCACATCCCTTACTCAACAAAGTTTACTTTATTGGTATTACATCAGTTTATATTTAGGTACAATAATAATTTCATACAAAATAATTCTCATTGACAATGTTGAACGCGCTTCGTGTAAAATTAACCGGTTCACGCGTTATTCGAATTTTGTTGTGACTATAATAATAATAAAATAATAAAATATCTTTATTCACATAGAAGCTTGCGCGTTCTTATGAAACGTCAAAATTTTACAAGAAATTAACACGTTCGTAAGTTACCACCGGTTCGGAAAGCAGTTTCTGTTGAGAAGAAACCGGCAAGAAACTCAACAGTTGCTCTTTTTTAAAAAATCAGTTTACAATATAATAGTACAGGTACAATAGTCTTGTTTTAGCCTACGTGAGTATCAACAGTATTAACCCCACACATTGGCGTCGTCAAGATATTCGGCAATAGTATAATAGGCTTTAGCCATAAGTGTACTTTTAATTTTTCGTTTAAATTCATCAAGTGGTATACTTAACATCGACTGTGGGATTTTATTATACATGCGCACACTTTGCCCCATGAACGATCTGTTTACTTTTTGTAGGCGAAATAATGGCGTAGTTAGTTTGTCCTTATTTCTAGTATTTAGTTTATGTCTGTCACTATTCTTTTGATAATTATTAATATTCTGTTTAACATACAAAATATTACAATAAATATATTGAGACGCAACAGTGAGTATATTAATCTCTTTAAAAAGATCTCTGAGTGTATTCCGGGCTCCGATGTTATAAATTGCTCGGACAGCTCTTTTTTGAATAATAATTTGAATTTATATCAGATGCACTACCCCACAACAAAATGCCGTACGACAAGATGCTGTGAAAATAACTGTAGTAAACAAGTCTGGCAGTGTCGATGTCTGATAGCTGCCTAACCTTCCTAATTGCAAAAACAGCGGAGCTTAACCTATTCGCAAGAGATGATAGATGGGGACTCCATTGGAGCTTTGAATCTACTGTGATTCCCAAGAATAAAGCGGACTCAACAGGATTAAGGGTTACGCTATTCAATTTTAAGCTAAAACTTTGCCTTCTTACGTTGGGAAGGGCAAAAAGGAGGCATTTAGTTTTTTTAGCATTTAACACCATATTATTAATGGTAAACCAGTGGAGGATACGCGAAAGTGCACTATTCACGTCGTCATAATTCGATACATTTCGGTCAACCTTAAAAATAAGCGATGTGTCGTCAGCAAACAGTACAACATCATATAACTCACTGGCATAAAAGGGGAGATCATTTATATATACTAAGAATAATAATGGGCCCAAGATCGATCCTTGTGGGACACCCATTTTCATGGGGGACCCTGCGGAATTTACATCATTTATAGATACTTTTTGAATTCTATTATTAAGGTAAGAAGCAATGAGATTGAGGGCGATGTCACGAATGCCATAATAATCAAGCTTTAGAAGGAGGGTTTTGTGATCCACGCAGTCGAAAGCTTTTGAAAGGTCGCAAAAAACACCTATTGCATCTTGCGACCCTTCCCAGGCGTTATAAATATGTTTGACAAGTGCGATACCCGCATCTGTTGTCGATCTGCCTTTAGTGAATCCATATTGCTCATTGTGAAAAATTTTGTTCATATTAAAATGTACTAAGAGCTGATTTAAAATTAGTTTTTCAAAAATTTTACTCAGAGATGGCAATATGGAGATAGGTTTGTAGTTTCCTGGATCATTTTTATCCCCACTTTTGAAGAAGGGGATTATCTTACTAAATTTCATAAGATCTGGAAATATTCCAGAATCTATGCAGTTGTTAAAAATATTAGCTAAATGTGGTGCAATATATGGCATTATTGTGGTCATTAATTTTGGGACATGCCCCATAAATCCCCTGTATTCTTAAGATTAATAGAATTCAAAACTTTTATAATATCATAAGTATCTACGTGATTAAATTTAAATGTGTGTGGACAAAAGGTAACATTATTTCTTAGAACGTTAATTGCATCTATGGGAGATGATTTTAATGTACATGTGATATTAACTGCAATTTCTAAAAAATAGCTTTCAAAAGTACTTGCAATTTCATTATCTGATGTTATGGGAGTATTACCTATAACCAGTTTTATAGGTTCCCTGAATATCTTGGGTCTTCCAGATATACGGGTAATGATGTCCCATGTGGCTTTAATTTTATTGTTTGAATTTATTATTCTATTTCTTATATGAATAGATTTTGCCTGAATACAGGCTATTTTAAATATTTTTGAGAACATTTGTACCCTTTTATGAAAGTTGGGGTCATGATTCCACTGCCTCATATTATATAATTCATACAGTGAATCCCTACTTTTATATATATCCACTGTTGCCCAGTCACTAAATTTTAATTTTGAATTTTTAACAATTGTGCGCGATTTAAATATATCATTATAAGAAGATATGAGAAAGTCAACCATTGATTTATAAGAATCATTAGGATTATTGACTTCTATATCTTTATTTAACATATGATGTGCCACTTTGTCTTTAAAAGAATTTATTCTATTAGTAGTGACTGGTCTACACTTGATCTTATGTTTGCTTGTAATAACTTTTTCATTTATTGAAAATTTTAAACCAAAGTGGTCAGAGCTCAGATAATTTATAACATATTTATCATATACATTATCGTGGCAGAAAACGTTATCTATACATGTGGAGGATGAGTTAGTGACACGAGTTGGTTCATGAAAAAGATTATTAAGTTTAAATGAACTAAATAAATTTAAAAATCGTTTACTAAGATGTGTCACTTGTAATAAATCCACATTAAAAAATCTCCACAAACTACTACTGATTTACTACTTGAACAGAGTTTTTTAAGTACATCATCCATTACACACTCAAACAGATCGAAATCACCTGAGGGGGGTCGATACACGCATACTATAATATACTGTTGACTCTCAACGCAGGATAATTCTATAGAACGTTCGACAGAGTGTGCTACTATATCCTGTCGATTTTTACAGACTATATCAGTTCTTACTAACACAAGAGAGCCCCCGCGAATAGCATTTGCTCTTACGAACGAACTTAACAATTTATAGTTCTCTATATCTATAATATTAAAATGCTTATGTAACCATGTCTCTGTGAAGCAGATGACATGGATGTTAAATCTTCTAAGAAACAGCTCAATTTCAGGTTCTTTGCCACCTATGCCTTGTATATTTTGGTGTACAATATTTAATTTAAGTGGCTTAGGTGTTGTCTCAATGTTTAGTTTAAACTAACATTGTTTTTTGTAAAATTATTGCTAAGTAAAATGTTCTTAGTTGTACAATGTACAACTGGGTTTTGTATATTATATGCTACTAAAGTAGCAATTATTTTCTTATAATATGACTTATGTTAATAATGTATACGTCCGTTTGAATGCACAAGTTGTGACATGATCTATAAATAGGCAAATTTCCTTTCTCGGTTCATTACGTCTGCACTTGCAACACCCACGGCGTGTTGTACGCTCCGTGGGCGGAGTGAGAGAGTGATGGATATTCTTAAGCCTCACCTACACGTTTAAATCCGGAGCTAAGTGAAACCTTATTCAATAAGATGGATGTCCCGACATTCACAAAGCGAAGGAATGATTTTTAAATAAACGAATTTCTTAATTTGACAATACTTTTACATAATGTACGTAAATATCGATATAATAATAGAAACCAATTCACTAATGTTATAACGCAGGCAAAGTTAAGGCAAATAAAAAACAGGCGGCTTACTTTGGTACACGTCACAAATCTATCTTTTATAATAAATTAATATTCTACAATGCAATCTGCATTTGTCACCTTTTCACTTCAGTCACATATAGCAGATTGGTCCACTGATTTTTTTTCTATGTGAAAAGTTACCAAAAGAGCAGGTGATTCACCTGATGTTAAGTGAATGCTGAAGCCCATGGACATCTGCTACACCTGAGGGTTGCAGATGCGTTGACAACCTTTTGAAAATTGGGCTCCGGCTACTCACGAGACGAAAGGCGAAAGTATTATACTTCCACTTTACGCCGGTCTTCTGTGAGGTCCTGGTACTTACCCGGACGAGCCTGCCTATTCGTGCAACAGCCGGGGCTGCTGCGTGACCAACCACAGTAAAAATTTATGAAACAATATAAATAATCTTTTAATTGCACAGCTTTTGTATATTACTATGATTAGACCACGCAGCATCTTCTGCTGTTGCACGAATGGGCAGACTTTCCGGGGAAGTAAAGTGGCCACGACTAGGGTAAAGTAGTATTACAATTTGGCATCCCGTTTGGAGAGGGACCGCGCCTAAAACCGGCGCCAACGTTAACGACAACGCATTTGCAACCTCACAGTTATTTAAAATGTTCACGTGCAGCGGTGCTCATTTAACTTCAGATGAACTTCCTTTTGTTTCCGTCCTTGCGATGGCAAAGACGGGCTATGGCGGACTCGCACCGATTAAAACCCCCACGATGTTCCATCTAGGCGCATATCGGCAGGGCTCCGGGAACGCTTTTGCACACTTCCGCGAGCATGCCAGAGCTGGCCGCCTTAGCAGCCCGTTTTCGGTGAACACCTCCCCTCTCCCCCAGGTAATACACGCTAGACCATTCTGCGCGCCATCCTGCTTTGCCCCACTTCAGATGAACTGCCTTACCTCACAAAAAACAGACTGAATGTAGGTGAGCGTAACAAGACTAATTTAACATCCACTTTTATAAAATAAACTGTACACGGATTTCGTAATCGTTAATCAGCTAACGGATAACAGCTTTGCGTATACAATGTGATGTATCAGTAATTTGTATCAGAATATAGAGCGCGGGTTTTGAGCGGCGATTAACCCGAATTACTCCAACGTAAATATTTGGATGCGCCGAGCGGTGCGCGATATTTCCGTTAACTGGGCCGCGTCGTTCTATGCTCGGAGCGGGGCGATTTGTGATGACGTTTTGGGGGTCAGTATCTTTATGGCCGATCGAGGGTCGCCGGAGCCGATGTTATTAGATAGGGATGATGTATGTGCGTTATTGAATCTTATATTCGAAATGAACATGACGATATCACGAAGTATCGAGACGTAAGTTTCAATCGTATTGTAGTTAACAGGGTAGCAGTGAAATAGGTTGTTTAATTTTAGTAAAGAAAGATATAGAAAAGTAAGATTTCTCTTGTTAATGTTTGTTTATCTATTTAGAATAGTTGCAGCATAAGTGCCCGATTAAGATGGAATTATTAAATCGTTATTAAAAACTAAATGCGCGGATGCAGCGGCAATTAAAAGCTTGTGTTTAATAAAAGGCGAACAAAATTATTGTGGCTTTAAGTTAAGTTGTAACATGCAATAGACTATATGCCAAAGCTTCTTCTTCTCTGATAGAAGCTAATTTTCTAATGATAAAAACTCACCATTAATGCTTGATTAGAGAAAGTTTTTTTTAACCAATCGATAAAAAAGTTACCGATTATCCTTTACAGTGATGATCACTGGAATACTATTTGGCTCAGATTTTTATCATGATATTTCTAATGCATCGTTTTACAGAAAACGGTGCTTTTAGAACAACACATACATTTAACGAAACTTAAAGCGGGAATTGTATATGGGGTCAAATAAAAAAAAAAATTGTTTTCTTGACTTTTATTCTTTTCTTTTTTTTTCAACTTTTTTGTTCTTAACACGATAGTACCAAAATGTATTAATTTATTCCTCTTTATTTTTTTTTAGATTTTATAACCAATAAGTAGCTCACATCTCTTCTCACACTGTATTTTTATTGACTGAACAGATAACGCTAACACACACATGGTTACACATGGGATGTACGTGTAACCATGTGTGTGTTAGCGTTATGGTTTGTAAATAAGTGTATGTGTATGCGTACTAAAAAGTGTGCAGAACAAGAACGTGAGATTTGGATTAGTGATTTTTTACCTAAAAGATCCCAATAAACGGAAAATCCATCGGTGTAATGGTGTGTATGTGTCTGTAATCCGCGACCTTAAATCTCAAGACGCGGTCTTGTCATCCAAGTTACTAGGCAAGTGCGGGAAATAAAACTGCCTAAATGCACACAACAGTCAGTCATGCTGATTCATTCGCGTGACATTACCGGGGCATTGATCGGCGACGAGGCGTGGTCACGCGGAATCGTGATGACCAGTGCTCGTGCGAATGTTAAACACGCTGATTAAGCTTTAAGCGCCGACCACCGTCTGAGGACGTGGACGTGACCATACATCGACGCGGCGAAGGATACACGACTGCGTCTGTTAATGTGGACGAAATCGATATGCGTTTGATGAGACGGAAATTAACTCTTGCATCAGGCCTACATTCATAGCGTTATATAATGGAATGGGTTCGGCACGAGACATGTGGTTATCATTACCATCAGCTCTATTGTTGTAAGAAGTATTTTTTTTTTCGTTTTCACGGTTTTCCTTTCATAGTTTATCCGTAAACATTACAATGAAATAACACCAGCTATCCCAAAAGTAAAAAACAAAATTAAACGCGATAAAATTTGTAAAAACCTGTTTGTGATTTGACAGTAAGGCATTAAAATTGCTGTAATTTTGTTGCGAACGCATTTAGTCGGAAATTCAACGAACAGATGTAGCTAGGACTACAGGCTAACTTTCACGTGGGGACTTAATAAAGTTGGAAAAGTCAATAGTGGTAACTATACCTCGACAGAGATTAAATACGTAGAAGCTTGTACAGTCAAATACTCAAACTGTGAATATTTATAAGGACATCAGAATCATAATTAATGTATCAGTAAACGAATTTATCAAGAAGCATCGGCGCACATGTGTCAATAAGCTTTTTTATTTTATAGTGAAAAATTGTTTGGTTAATGTTATCCCAAAGTGAGGGATAACATTATCCTGTGTTGTAAGGACATTTTACAAACATAAATTTCACGTGTACAAACATCCACATGCGAAACATCTATCTGTGGGTCGCACAAATAGTTGTCCCGTGTGGGAATCGAACCCACGACACTCGGCGCCGAAGCCAATACCTTGTCAAATGCGCCACGGAGACCAGTAAGCTTAATTCATCTCTCAAATTTACGAGGTTTCGGATAGATACTCATTTTCTCGCAACTTCAAAAATGAGGAGGGTTTCAATTCCGTCGTTTATGAACCGATTTTGAATATCTTTTTATGAAATATTTGGATCGGGTCAGGAATAGCGTCACTTATGGTCTCATGATAAATTCATTGGCATCGGACCTTTAACTTCGGAGATACACCAATGTACTACTCATAAGCAAGTATAAACTGTGTAGTGAATGAGATATTTGAAGACGGTTTGGTTTTTTGTCACTAAAGATTATATATATATATTATATATATATATATTATATTCTCTAGTTTTATTGTTACACTGTGGCAGGCGCGTGCACTCCATAGAAACAAAAACTCTTTGCATACCCTGACATCCCAAAACACCTAAAGCTACGAGCTATATTAAAGTAATAATGTTAATTATACTTTAACTCTTGTCTTTCGGTGTTAATTGAGTCCCAAGTGTAACCAATAAGTTTTTTAGCGCACCCTGTCTAAAACCTCTGTGCACCGCTGCACTGTGGTCGACCACAGCGCAGCAAATCCGCTCGGAATGAGCAACGCGCGAATGCGGGAAACGCTGAAAAGGCGCCACGTGCGAGATGGGCTATTCAATCGGTCCATACGCGAGCCATTTAGCGAGGCGCGCTTAGTCAAACGCTGGGGTGGGAGCGTGCCGAGTGCCGCTCTGAGTTTGACGGGGGCTCGTGTCGTTTAGTAATAATAATCTCGGACACATTATTTACACAACGTTTTCTAGTCCCAAACTAAGCAACGCCTGTACTATGGGTACTAGATAACTGATAAACATACTTAAACATACTTTTCTTCTGTAAATGAATACATATTATACATATATTAACAGCCAGACACTGGAAAAACACGATGTTCATCACACAATAGTTTTTCCAGTAGTGGGGATCGAACTCACACCCTCTGGCGCAGGAGGCAGGGTCACTACTCCCTACGCCAATCGGGTCGTCATATGATAAAATTCGCGAGTTGGACTCGCGCACAAAGGTTTCCTATAGAAGTTTTTACTTCAAGAACATTAAGGAAAAATAAATAACCGCATGTATTGAACGCTTTAACGACCGTACGTAATTGATGCTTAAAATTTTTACAACACATTCATTTTAAAATTTTCCGTCAAAAAATTAATAGCACAAATATAATAAATGAAACACGGAAACGGTTTCCAATGGAAACATACTGAAGGTCCGAAATTAATACAACGTGTTAAAGCGGCTTCGGGTGAAATTAACATATTGGCTGTGGAATTAAAGCGGTCAGTTTGGGCGGGAAACGGCGATCTCGACTTAGCAACGGGAATATGGACCGGGGGAAATATACACATTTGAAGATTATAAAGTCATATGCTTATATATATATGTATGTAATCAGGAAAAGGTTCTATCGCTTTAATTTCTCTGAGTTCCGAATACTTCAGTCAGGGGGGTTGAAAACTCCTGTGATACAATCAATCGTACCAAGCCCCTTGAACTTTAATGTCACATACATTTAATGTGTCATAGTGGTATTACGGTAAACGATTGCTAAACTGTATACAACGATAAAATTATATGTAATTATACGTAGTAGGGAGGAGTTATTACAAATATCTTTTATATACATAAAAATGAATTGCTGTTCGTTTGTTTCGTTAGGACTCGAGAACGGCTGATCCGATTTGGTTAATTTTGGTTTTGAAATATTTGTGGCAGTCCAGGGAAGGTTTAAACGATAAGAAATTATGAGAAAATTGCATGGAAATTCGAAATATCTAAAATTTTATTTTACCTGTCAAACATTTTATGCGTGCGTTCCAAAAATTTTCTATGTGTTGAGATTTACAAACTCCCCAGATATGGTACCAGAAATTTTTTTCATTAACGAGAAATAATCGACTTCAAATACCTCGCTCTGTATTCATTTTATAACTGATTGTCAAGAGTTCCCTACGTATCTTCGGACCCCAAGATCCAATACCAATGAAATTAATGTGGGACCACATGGGAAGCACCAGCTTTCAAATAAAGAATCATCAAAATCGGTTAATTCTGTCGAAAGTTCTGAGGTAACAAACATAAAAAAAAATAAAGTCGAATTGAGAACCTCCTCCGTTTTTGAAGGCGGTTGAAAAAACATTTGCCGGGTCAGCTAGTCTAACATAGATAAGAAACCAGATATATTAAGACCGTTCCAATGCAATATACACAACATATCACAGATCCGACAACTATCTCAATGATCGGTTGTAACCGTGCCTAATTCGAAATTCGACAGAACCTTATTTAGACCAACAGAGGGGGGGGGGGGGGGGGGGGGGGGGAGAAACAAAGCAATATCGGACTAGAGAGGGGGCGGGAGAGGGGGAGATAATGGAACATTTCGCAGCGCACTTGCACCGCTAATCCCGCCGTCTTAGTTTACGGCGCGACGTTACGAGATTCGCGGCGGGTTTAATATTCATGCGCCGGGGCCCGTACGTACAAAACAAACGTGCACATCTCCCGCCGGAGTGGGGAGCGAACGCGGCTTTAGCGGTATAGGCGTTAGATGCGCGAACTGTCGCGATTTATGCGTCGGACGTGGACAGGTGTTGTTAGTTGTTACGTGTTGTTCCGCCGGCGCGGGAATCGACGACGTACCTACATTCGTGATACGCCCGGCGTTATGCTTGCGCGCGAAATACGGCCTGATGTGCGGGGCACCGGTGCTTTGTTTTGGTTTATGTGGTAAATGCGTTGCCACCTTAAATAAAGTGGGCCCCGGCTACCTCACTCACCAGACGAAACGCAGAAGTGTAACACTTCCACTTTACGCCGGTCTTCTGTGACGTTGTGGTACTTGCCCGGACGGACCTGCCCATTCGTGCAACACTGAACACTGTTGCGTGCCCTACCACCCACGTAAATGTAATATTACGTAAGGCAGTACTAGGGGAGGCTTTGACGGTTTGTTTGAATTATGTTTACGCTTAAGGACTTTTAAGAGACAAGGTAGCGAACGACCAAGTTATTTAACTGTTGGCCAAGGTGTTCTACACACCATGGGCCGACATCCACAACACCAAAACACTCTGACCTTATCAATCTTCAAGAGAGTGAGCTCACCGACAACAAAAGGCAACAACAACATAAGTCAAATTGTCATATATTATCCAATATTTATACTACTACTTTTTATACTATACTTTACAGATTCCACATACTACTTTATATAGTTTCTTTTTTTATGTTAAGTCTGTTAAGCGAGCAGGCGGTTCATCTGATTTTAAAGGATTACAGACGCCCATGGACATCTAGAGCACCGATTTTATCACATAGGTGCGCTGTGTTTCCGCCATGTAAAAGAGCTGACCCCGATTACCCACTCACCAGAGGAAACGGCTTCTTATGGCTATGTTACTCCCCCAACGAGCCTGTCCATTCATACAATAACAGAAGCCCCACCAAAGTCAAACGAACACACAAACTGAAGCGAGTTATTATTCGTAATTTATTTTTATTTTTTACTTTATTTTCATTACATGTTAGCGACATCACCTTAGATTTGTAAATAAATAAAATAAAGATGTCGATGTTACAAACCTAAATATCTGTCTGCATGTTTGTATTAACGCTGCGAGTGCTTCAACCTAAGCGCTGAGTACCTCACGATGTTTTCGCTCGTCCTTCAACGCGTCATGATAAATCAGCTCCCAAGTTAAACAACTTGGGCGCCACCGACACCGGTCTGCTAACAAAGATTGCTAATGTACAAATATATTAAACTTGAGCTGTTCGCTTAGCTGATATTGCTGAAAGCTTTAATTAAGTGTTGCTTGACAGAATTATTAATTTATTTAATTTATGCACCAAGATGTTTCTGGCAGTGTTCATAACAGATCATGTGCCTACAAATAATGCCGTTAAGAGTGGTTTTACTTTTTATGATTACGATAATACTAAACATGGCTGAATAAAGTTTTGTATCTTAAATCATAAGGACAATGTCAAATAAAATAGTTTTATTTACCATCAATAAAAGTAAAGTAACAGCCTATACACATCCCACAGCTGGGCAAAGGTCTCCTCTATACAGAGAGTACTGTCTACCGTACTGCAGATTGGCGGACTTCACGAATTTATGAAACTTTTTTTGTTATTATTTCGAAAATATATAGCTTTCCTCACGATGTTTTCCTTCACCGTTGAGCATGTGGCAAGTCAGCACTTAAAATTGACAATTTAATTGGTGCAGGCACCGGGGATCGAACCCTGGTTGCTCGAGTATACTCGTATTCAATTAAACGCGATCGCCCGGACACTGAGCTATCATTATATATCACATATATCATTATAGCTCAGTGTCCTTGTTAGTCATGTAAATTATTCACTCCGGTGTGACGAGACCTTTGGGTCTTATTTACCGTGGAGCCCCAACATGAAAACAGTACAATTTGTAGGCTGATCATACTTTTGCTATAAACGCCATTTTTAGACATTTTTATAGTAAAGATATTTGGCAACGTCAGGCCCTAGCGATGGCGATTCACCTTTAACGGACTTACCCTCTATCATTTGGAGCACAGGCCATTATTCATAAATTAAATTCCAGTCGTGATTCATCGCTTTTCGCCCGCCTTTTAAGGCGACCTTTTTTCTGGTTTTTCGTCTTAACTAAATCTGTTCCAGACAATTCTTTCCGAGCCGGCTCACTTAACACTTTAACCGAATTAAAAGGACCGACAGTGCCCTAAAAAAGAAGTTAAGCGCCTATTTAATTTGGCACGTACACTAATATCTTTAAATGACTAACGTCCAAGATTTTTGTATTTCTTTACCTTCAAATATCCCTGTTATCTATGAAGGCAGAAAGATATGTAGGTTTAATCAAAATTAGGTTTATTTCAAATCTCATGTTGCCTAAAACTACTGTAACCCCCTGGTCCAAATACTAATACATTTTTTTTGTTATTACAAACACCCTGTCCTCTTTTGGATAACATTATCCTGTGTTGTAAGAACGTTTTACAAACATAATTTCACGTGGACAAACACCCAGATGCGAAATATATATCTGTGGGTCACATTAGTAGTCCCGTGTGGGAATTGAACCCACGAGCCCCGACGCCGAAGCCAATACCTTGGCCACTGCGCCACGGAGGATTCATAACTATTCAAAAATGTCTTTTCGATTTTATTAAACTCATTTCTTTGAACGTCAATTTTTACACATACACAAGGTTTGTACAACAAGTAACATCGTTGTTTCGACGTTAATACATCACTGAAAACTCATTTCACTCGGCTGCATTGGAAATCCATCTCCTTTTAATACGAACGATCTGCCCTCTTCAATGAGCTCGTCTATTCCGCTTCTTTCATCCTTTATATCTCCTTTTATCCTTTTCTCTTTCTTCACTGCCGACTGTTTCCCCGTGAAAAGCGTGTCTTGTACAAAACCGTTTTTAATCTCGCCCCATCTTCGGTACGCGCGCCCAGACTCATTTACTGGTATTTCAGTTTAAATAGCCAGCGGATGACTCGGCGAACGGTGTTCTCGAAATTGCAATTTCCCCGGCGCACTCCGACAAAAACTCGCGACTAAAAACGAGTTCCGGAGTCGGCTCTGTCCGTCAATTTTCTTTTGGCTTCGGGTAGTAATATTATAAATTATTATTAACCAATATGAGTTTGATTTATTTTATTGATACCATAAAATATATAA